TTCATGTTATACATATTTTATCACATTTGAAAAAGTAAGCAAGAAATAAAATTACATGCATTCCTACTTAGTAAGCAGGGTTGGAATATCCAGAAGATGCTCAGAAAGGTTTAGTCCTAAAACACATCTTAGCATCTACTTAAGTACTCTAAACTTGCACCATCTCATTTTATTTATACTTCCATTGGTGAACATATGAAGCAATTCAATGAAAATAAAAATATTCCTTGCCTGATTGCCTTCCTTTTTTCCTGTTGATCAGAAGAGAGGTAGGCCTTCATCTCTTCAGTAGCACGATGAAGTTGAACTTCTAGGTTCTAAATAGAAAGGTAACTTTCAGGGAGGTCTCTGGCACACAAAAAACTCAGAACGGTTTCTGATGCACTTCCTTTGTCTTACCTTAATCATACAATTTGTATAATGGTATTTGCTTTCTTCTTGAAGACATTCCTCACGCAGTCCTCTAACTTCCTACAATATAGAATTTTAAGTGGTCAACATTATTGAAAGAGTAAGACAGATGCAGAGAGGATGCCTTTAAATATACAACAAAAGAGCCATTAGGAGTAACTTCCTCTTCTGCAATTTTAAGCTAACAGAATATGCTGAAATTTTTCGTAGACTATCCATATTGCTGTTACTCATTTATTAATTCGGCACATGTCCGGTGCTGTCCTATGGCAGACAGGCCCTTCTCTTGCCCAAGTACAGGAGGAGGCAAGCATAACCAGGCCATCACGTGAGGAAAGTTACTGAGACGGGGATGGGTGCTATGGAGGAAAGTTGGCAGTGGACTGTGACAGAGACAGGGCCAGCCATTCTGGGGGGCAAGCAGGAAATACTAGGGTGACCAGAGAGGTCCTTTGGGAGAGGTGCCTACCATCCTGAAAACTGCAAATGAAAAAGGAGTAGGGCACAGGGTGAGAGCATACCAGGCAGAGGACAGACGAACCAAGGCCTGGAGTGGAAGGGAGCTCGGCCGTCTGTGCACGGGAGAAAGTGGGGCTGGGGCTGGTGCATGCAGAGCAGCCACGGGCCAGAAGTGAGTGAGGCAGGAGGGCCTCGAACATCACCGTTTGGAAGTTGTATTTTATTTTATTGTTTGGATTTTATTTTAGATACAAAAAGAAGCAATGGAGTGTGGATTAAACTTGAAACAGGTTTCTCTGGTGGCTCTGTGACTAAACCGAGGAAGATGAGAGGTAGAAGAGCGAGGGTTACTCTGAGTTTAGATAAGGGATGACGGATGTTGGACTTTGGCAATAGGGGCACAGGTGGGAAAATTCACTGTGTGGACATGAAGTTTAGACATAACGACCTCGGCGCTTAGGAGACAGGCTAGGAAATGATGATAAAGATTTGGGAATCTTTTGACACTGATGTAAAAATGTGCAGTTTTTGCTAAACAGGCTGCTTTGTTAAACTGTTAGAGTAAAACTCTTCTTACCTGTTCTAATTTGGACCGACTGCTTTCAAGGCCTGCTGCACAGCTATCGTACTGGGATTTCTTTTCGTCACATTCCTGGGTTAGTTCCTAGTACGAAAGGGCAAATGATCCAATAAGAGAAAAACAAAGGGCTGAAATGTGGCTCTGAAACAATGTGTGCCCTTGTCAGTCTTGTAACTTAACTCTAAGCTTCTTGGCATACTTAGGAGTTCTTTATACAACACCCGGACATCTGAGAATTATGACAGGTGGAGGTGGGGGTAAGGAGACTAGCTGCCACGTCCAGCGCTCTGCGCCACTCTGTTTACTAGGCTGGAGACGCAGCAGCGAAGAAAACAGCCGGAGTGCTTCCCCTTCCTAACACTCAGACAAGTAAACAGGCTGCTGAGAGCTATGTACAGGAGGTGACACTAGGGACAAACACAAGGTGTACAGGAGCACGCGGGGCTCCCACAGACCTAATCCAGCTTTGGGATCAGTGGGGACAACTTCCTGGAGAAACTGATACCTAAATGGAGCATAAAGGATTATGGAGAATTGTTAAGGGGCAAGTAAGTAAGGAGAAGAGGATGTTTTCTAAAGAAGGAACAACACTCTGTATAAAGAGAGAGAACAGGAACAAATAGGGAACATACCACAGTTAATGAGGCTGGAGCACATCTGGGGAGCCATGAGAGCACGAAGCTTAGCTGGGGCCTGACCAGAAGAACCTCACAGATGCTGGGGCGCCTGAACTGGGCCCCTGACGCTAACTAAAGCTTCCCACTGGGCAGGAAGGAGGCATTGCTACAGCACATAATGCTTGCAGAATATTCACAAAGGCCACATACCTTGCCAAAGATTATACTGCTGGAAAGGAGTGGAGTCAGAATTTAATCAGAGTTTAGGCTATTTTTCTAATTTCAAAGTTTACTCTAATACAATATTTTGAAAGAGACAAACTGAAAATCTACTATAAATACCAAAAAATATGATGAAGTATCTGCAAATACTTGATAAGGTAGAGCAAATATTTTTTAAATCCAGAGAAGAACTGAATTCTCAAGGAGGTAAGAGGACTCACCAGGGTCAGAAACAAGGACTCGCACATGGCTACTCATTATGTAGCAGGGCAGTCAGGCTTGGCAGGAGTAATCTTAATGTTCAGGCTGGCAGAAGAAAAGCCTCAGGCCTACACATGATGTGAAGTGACAAGAGAAGACCTAGACCTCTACTGCAGTAAATCCAAGCCACTTTCTACCTGGGAACTAACTTGCGGTCAGAGCTAACAGCCTGAGGGTGGCCTTGGCTTCCCAGCAGTGTCCTGGAAATGCAAGAGTGACTGTGGTCGGGGATGCGGGATGCAAGCACCCTGCGCCAGGGCCACCAGGATAGTACCGTGGGGGGTGGGGGTGGGGCTGTGGCTTGTGTACTGCCGTGACCAACAGACATCGACGACGGCTCTCAAGGGTGACAGTCACACTCCCTCTGTGGGGTGAGGAGTAGCAGACGCCAAGTACTTGCTGGGCACTTAGGTGGCTGCTGGGCCTCTTAATGAGATGAAGAGTCCACAGCTGATGAAAGCTTCTTTGGCTATGTGGTCAAAGACATCAGCTCAAAATTATCTCCAATCGTGTGATATTTCTAAAACACCAGGCAGAACAATAGCAAAACCACTCTGGAAGTGCACACACTCCGTCCCAGCTGCCAGGACCCGATACAAAACCTTCCAAAGGTAAGTCCACAGTCTCAAAGTAGAGATCTTAATAGAAGGAACGACTGACCTACTAAGCATAAAATATAACAAGATATAAACAGTAAGATCAGCCCTCCAGGAACTCTAACGCTATACATAATTATAGTATAAGTATGCTTAAAAGAATAACAACTTAAGAACTGAAAAAAGAAAAAACAAAGATTTGAAAAAAAGACATACTTAGAAAAAAATAATGAAAGTCATTGAAATTAAAAATTACAGGGGTAGGGGCTAGAGAGATAGCTCAATAGAATAGGC